AACACCTTTAAATATATGAATTATAATAAAAAAATCTTTGGTAATATTACTAAAAATATTAAAATATGATAAGTTAAAAGAAAAAAAGCTCGACAGGCGAACATTTGGAAGAAAATATCGTGTCATTTTTTATTCAAAATTTTTATTTTATATTAAGGTATCAATACAGTTGTTTTATTATATATCAAATGAAAGGTATTTTTATACTCTTTCTAGTAAATATAGCGTTTAATATATGTAATTAATTACGAATTTGGACAGATATTGTATTGAAAATTATGTCAAACTGCAAAAAGCTTTCGTGTAGACTTAATTTGGACTACAAATATACCCCATTAAAACCTCTTAAATGAATTTTTCTGTAAACAAATCTATTTACCTAAAGAAACCAAAAATCAGCTGTTTTTGTTCACACACCGTGAATAACCCTATTTCTTCGATGTATAAGGTTGGTAGTACTGTCATGTTTAAAAAATTTTTCGAAGTTATGCGAAGTATGCATAATCAGACCTTAACCCTCCCCCATTCTCTGCTGGATGAAATTCTCACATGCATATATATTCGAAACTGAGGTTAGATACTATAGAGTTGGTCTTTTGTCGTGATTGTATTTCATTGATGGTCGTCCCGTGCCGGAATTGGTGTATTCCCCATAGTCCAGACTCTCTTCTTTTAGGTGGAGATCAATACGGATTAAGTGTAAGATTGCGGTTGTTGAGGTATTTTAGTATGCCGTTCAACGCTACCCACAGCAATGGTGAAAGAACGCCTCCCTCTGGGGTATATCTACCTTTACTCACATTATGGGTCAGAGACGCAGTTCCATTTGTAGCGTTAATTATTCTATTGTCTAGCATTGAATGTATCCATCTGCAGACACTGTCATCAACCCCCAGTTTCTGTATGGAGTCTACAATGGTGCTGACTTCGATATTATTGAATGCGGCTTGAATGTCAAGAAAGGCTGCTAGAGTATATTTCTTTAAATGGAGCGCTTTTTCTACAATACCCAGGTCTCCGTGGATCTTCCGTAATGTACGCATGCTGAGCTCTTGAAGTAGTCACTTCCCCTAGTGGCGGTCTTAAGTAAAACTAGGAAAGGCTTAAAGGTCTTCGGAGCCAAAATGAAGCAGTTTGCCATTTCTTCTCCAACTGGCTTAAGAAATCAATATTATTTTACTTCGTAAATATTACCTTCAAGTTATTATTTGCGCTAAATCTTTGACTCTATCCTTAATGCTGTTTTTTTTTAAGAAATGGAACCTCTTTCTCCAACAAAGTCGGCATATAACTACACACATAATTGATTTTTTTCCGTTTAGTCATCAAGGCAAAATCAATTTTCTTGCTTACTTAATAAAAATTTTTGAAGCACACCAAAGAAAAAAGACAAAAAAAAAACAACGAAACGTGTACAAATTTCCGCACGTAGCCCAACCAATAAATGGCATTTTCAAAACGACTTTTCACGGGCACACATACAATTAGAGAAAGAAAAAAAAAAACATTAAATACCAACACATTTTCAAATGCTCAGCCGAATATGCACGCAGAAGTAAATATACATACATACAAACATACATGCATATGTACTGAAATAAAATTGTTCAAAGAAATTTTCGATTTACAATTTTGTATTCAATACACTGCTGCTTGTGTCTGGCCCCGTTTGGCTGCAAAGCGGGGTGTCGCCAATGTTTACGAAGAATTGCAACTCCCTCTACCAAAAACCCCAGCAATCATTTTTGTTTTGGCTGCTATTGCTACTGCATTTTTCACAAGCAAGTAGGGAAGTATGTATGTATGTATGTATGTATGTGTGGAGGTAGTGGCAACGAAAAATCGAATTAAATAAACAAACGCGTAACGTGAGCAAAATACCAAATGATATTTTAAATGACGGCACATTCGATAGCATACGAAGCTTTTGCCGATCGGTTTTTGTATTTGTTATTATAAGAGTAAGTAAGTACATATTATTCCATTTTTTATTTAACTTTGTAATATCTGCCGTATGTTTGTGTGTTTCAATCGTAGTAAGTATACACCCTGCTATTCGTATTAGCTGAATCGTTGGCGAGAAAAGGTGGGAAGCGGAGCGAGGCCAAAAACCATTTTACATGTTCTGCCAAGCGATTACATTCCTTTCTGTCGCGCGCTTGAACTTATATTTATTTTGCCTATTCTTTTTCATAAATTGTTGTTTTTGCATTATTCAATTGTTGCTTGCGTGTAGTAGTAGGGCGCATCGCCGCAACGTGCTCCAAATTTTACTTATAACGTTTGTTTGTGTGTGTTCGATAGAAATTTTATCACGATTTAAATAAAAACGAAATATTTGTTAAATAATCGAATGTTTTGTGAACATGCTTTTGAATTTACATGCGTACTACTTAGTATATTTACATCCAGTTGGTAACACAGTTCCATATATTTTAATCTGTGCATATAAATATCAAAAGGTAAAACCATTTTTTAATTCTGGGCTTCTTTGGTTATTTGCTATTTAAATGAAGTGGTAGTTGTCAGTTGGGGACACTATCGGATATTATTCAAGTTGCTCTTTGTGATCTTGAACAATATCCACTGCTCATTCGATGAACGGCTGCGACCCAATCATGGCGCTATAGAGACTGCTAATATTAGTCCATGGGGGCTTTTCAAGATTGGTTAAGTGCGAGTCAAGGTACTTGAGTTTTATCACTTCCTTGAAAAAACTGAACAACCTGCTATTAGACACTGGGGGGATTTCATCTCATCATCCTCGAGATAACTGCAGCAGTAGGAATCATATGTGGTTTTTGGTATTGCTGCATGAATAACGATGGGACAGCGACCTTTAAAAATCCCCACTCATAGAAATCGCCTCACAAATCCTGCAATCAAGCTTCGAAACATCAGTGAAAAATTTCACTGCTACCTACCTCGCTTCCTTTTAGTAAATTCCTAGAAAATTTCTGTTTCCTACTGAATGAAATACTTACTCATCGTCAAAGTCTGCACAAGTCGTTCAGTGGGAATCGAGGTTTACATAAATCTAAATATTTTTTCCAATGTATAGCTCAACTTGAGCCACTCTACAGTCATCTGCCAGACGAAGATTCAGCGAACAATTTTATAAGCCATTTGAGAAGTGGTAATGCTCAGCAGATATAATGCAAAAGTAAGCAAACAATAAACATGCCATACCTCCAGGCGCGCAAGCTGATATGTATTATAACTACATACATTAATGTATGCGTGTACTTCCTTTTATGTTGCGTATACGCTACGTTGGCCTCTAACTGACAGCGAGCCAAAAGCAGCAGAAAAACGCATACACCGCTTGTATAGCGAAACCCAGAGAGCAACAACGGGGAATGCACATGTCTCGTATTGCAGCTGCTTATGGATGAATGCATTTCTTGATATTCTTCGAGCTGCAAATTCAAGACTCTGAGTCCGACAACACACTGCCGCCGCCTTGATTTCACTGAAAGTCGGTGCGCAGTTTGCATTTATCTGCATTTTGCTTAGACAGCTTTGTATATGTACGTTTTCTGCAATTTTTTTTTTTAGTTATTTGTGTTGTTGATATTTCTCGCTTTGTGGCGGCAATTCTCTGCGTTTGCATTCCAAACTTGAGTTGCCTTTTACGGCGGCTGCATAACTTCAAAACGAAATCAAGCATATGCTGAAAATAACCGTTGAACTCTATAACTTTCTTTTCTATTCCATTTTTTCTTTTTTTACTCTTTTGCCTTCGCATTTCAACTTCAAATCAACCGCACTATTTCACTCTTTCAATTTCTATAACTTTCCGCTAACCACTGAATGCAGGCACCTAAACTTGTGGAGGGCGTGTTTGTACATGCGATATATTTCTCAATTTCCTTTTCGCTAAATTTCATTTTAAAGTATTTCTTTTCATTTTATTTTTTGGCTCAAGTGAAATGTCTTCCTTATTCGAGCTGCTTGATTCACTTCCTGTTTTGGCTTTTTTTTTTGTGTAGCTGCTGGCTGGAGCGACTCTGCAAGTACTTGCATAGCGGCTAAGTTGCTTTCGTCGCTTTGGGAGCGCTTTCACAGAAATTTTGCTTTGACAGTTTAGTTACTTTCGCTCGAACATAAGAAATGATGTTGCATGCATTTTTATTTTATAATTTTTATTTTTATTTTTATCCAGGTTTTATACATTTTTTAACCCATTCGCGTATAGATTCTATGCACTTACCTCACAAATTGATTGACTTATATTTTGTAGATTTAATCGAAATATGCGATCCCTGCAAAGAAAGAGAAAAATAAGAGTAAGCTTAGTTGCATTTAAAATATTTACTTGTAAAGTTAAAGTTTAAGTATAAGGTAAAGTCTCGTAAATGTTTCCAG